AGAAATTAAAAAAAATAATAGCAGTGTAAAATAAAATAGATACATATTTGAAACAATTCAGATTTTCTAACTGCCTATATTAAATTCTGTTATTCATTCATAAATGTTAAAGCCCCATTAGTTCTTAAAAATATTTAACTCAAATATCTATCTCACAAATATGTCCTTTCTATCAAAATCGGCCTCCTCTTATTGTAGCACTTTGGTAGTATTATAAATATAGACTAGTAAAAAAATAAAACTTGTAACACGTGTTGTTCGTATCAAAAGTTAAAAAGTTAATTTAATTTTTGTATAAACAATAAATTTCGTAAAATAGAAACAAGTGATTGTAGCGGTAAAAGTATGTAATCACTCATTATCCCATTATCATTTTGTAATAAAACAGCCGAAGCGAATAAACAAGAAACCTTTCTTGTAGTTGTTGTATGTCTTCATAGATTTAATTTAATTTATTAGCAGCCAATCGTCTTCGATCTATGTAGTGTCAATCAATTTCATACCTACTTGTACACCTTTGTTCATTTATAATTCTAATTCATTTTTGCTAAGTGCAGTTACGATGACTTATAATTCTTATTATGCATTGAAGTATCTGGAACAAGAAACTAAACAGAAGATCAATCGCGAAATTGATCATTTTATAAGTGAAGTGGTTAATGAGGTCACCAAGAACGAATCAAATGTTAAACAACTCACAAACATTTTTAACAACAATTATGAAATCACAGATAAAGTGTAAGTAGAATATTCACATTAATTTACACGAAATTTTAAAAAATTATTTATTAAAAAAAAATAAAATACGTTCTGTTCGGGTTTTTTTCTTTGTAGAAAGTTTCATAAATAGATTACATAAAAAAAAATTAGTGTGATGACACGATTATTGTAAGCCTAAACGTAACTAAAGTACCACAAATGGTGTAAAAACCACAAGAGTAACGGACCACTTTGGTTTCTGGTTTTGTATCAATATTTAACGATACTGACTAACTTCACTTTCACAACGAAAGAAACCAAAAGTTTTCGTTGGACAAAAGTTAAACTTAGACGCTATAAACGCTTTGAAGAACTAATCGAAATTTTTAGATATTTATAACACTAATTTATCATTACATAAGGGGTCGTTCATGAAATACGTTCACAAATAAGGGGTAGGAAGGGGTATTGATTAGCGTAACGAGATATGACAAGGGGGGAGTCAGACTCTAACGGAATGTGACGTTTGCCGTTCGTCAATTTTATTTTAATGTTTGTTTTTTTAATTTGGTACGGTAGAAAATCATTCACTGCTATTTTTAGTCACAAGAAATAGTTTTTAAGGTGGAAGTACCTTTCGTGACGTAATATTTATTTAGGGGGTCGTTGTACCTAAGTGTGACTAAATGGGTGTTAGGGGTCCAAAAAGGTGAAAGTCTGACTGACGTATTTAATGGACAACCCCTTCTAACAAGAAGTATAAAAATATTTGTTAACGTCAAAAAATTAGCAATAATTTCATACTGTTTAGTCAATTCTTCAGTTATTTAACAAAAATATTACATACGACTAATAATAAACAGTAGCAGGTAATGGTTCTTATACCAAATGATTTTGTTTCCAGGAAAGTTTTAAACGGGCGCCTTCCAGAAAAAGTTTTTGTGTGTAGAAATTCTCTCTTAAGTGATCTGTACACTATAAAACACATAAGGACGATTTATCATATTTTTATAGCATTATTTGTAGGACAATGCATACACAATGCAGTAGAAGACTATTTAAGTAGTGGACAGTAAGTGTAGGTTTATTTAAACTTTTTTTTTGAAAAATAACGTTATGCTTATTTTAAGAATATTGATAGGAACCGACAAGATATTTAATGGTTTGGCAAAGTTTGATGTAGCCGCTACTTTATGGATAACGATGTTTTTGTTAACATTAGCAAATTACGTGTTTTTTGTTTGTTGGAGTAATATTAGGATAAACATATTTCCTAATAGTAAGTCATTTACTTTCATGCTCGCGATTTATATGACTACAATTTCATTTTGAAAAGTCAATTTGGTGGTTTTCTAATAACAAACGTAATTAAACTGAAATGAGCCCCCTCTTAGTCACTAATTCATCAAATCATTTTTATTTTTTACTACACTTTTTTTAAGTAAAAGGAGAGAAAAGGTGTCAATAAAAATTACTTCTCACAGATTTAGGTCATTAGAAGGAAAAGTTCCATGGTTTTTTTAGCTTTGAGTTCACCCACTAAGTGAAGTTTTTCGAATCGTTTTCTCAGAATTTTGGATTATACGCGTTTATTACACCACAATAGCTTGTGTAGTTTTCAGTTTTACACAGCTGGAGTATATCAATTCGATATTGTTTTGTGGACTGTTTTGTCGTAATTTATAGAATTTCGTAGTTCCTTGCTAAAGTTACGATAAGTGGTGATTTGGCAGATGCTGATATCAATTTGGAACTTCAAAATTCTATAGACCATGACAATGAACCTGGAAAACAATATCGATCCAATATTTTATATTATCCATTTCCAAATAGTTTAGAATTTTTTGGTCTCTCTTCAGTTAACAAATTAGAAAATATTCATGTGATGTCTCTTTATGACTTTTAATGACAAAAATGCATTTTGCAAATTTTAAAATACCTTTGCAAAAGTATTTTAAATAAAATACAAAATGCTTTTCTCAAAAAAGCATTTAAATGCAAGATAAAAATAGGTACTTTTTATTTTGTATTTGCATTTTAAATGCAAGTATTTCAAAGTGAAAAGGTTTGAAAAAAAAATTCATTAATTCAAAATTCATGCTTTCTTTTTCGAAAATAAACTTGAATAAAAATTTCGTTATAATCAAAACAACACCCTGATACGTTATACCTACACAAAACTGTTGTACTCTAAAAGTAAATAATTTCTGTTATTTTTAGCCCTAAAGCTTAAGATGTGGGATTGCGTTTGGATTGGCTCTCTAATATGCTACTACATATCATTTTTCTATTATTTTACTAACGCCGTATTCAATAACAAATTTCCACCACCAACTGCTATTATAGTTTTAATTGAATCGGTACGTAGAAGTAAATACAAAGTTTAACTAAATCTAAAAAGTTAACAAAGTCTATCCCCGATAATGCAGAAATAAAAAAAATTAACAGTTTATCCTGCCCCTGTGAAAGTTGCACTGGTTTCCAAGTAAAATTAACGTATTTTGTTTTATTAGTCATATTAATTTTTTACACGTAAACGATTGAATATTAAAAATAATATTAAAAATGTCGCCTACCTATTTATAAATTTACTAGTTTGGAATAAATATTTAGATATACGTTTTTGGTCTAGAAAAAATGTGAGGTTTCTTTTTTCCATTACTGTTCTTTAATTTTATCTTCATGTTCAACTTTTTTATTAAATTTTACTCGATCGTTTAACAGTAAAAGATTAATAAATCATAAAAACTATTTTCTACTTGTAAATCAGTTCAACGTCCAGTCTATTTAGAGCTAATGCTTGAATAAATTTGATTTTTTAATACATTCTAATTTTGTAATAGTATAATAAATTATTAATTTATGATTAATTGATGGCGATGCTGTATATATATATATATATATCAATTTCTGCTTCTTGTAGGTAAGACTGACAATGAAAAGTTATGCGTTTATTAGGAGTAATGTACCGAGAGTGCTAAATTATAAATCACACAGTGAAAAGGAGAATCCTTGCCCTTCGTTTTCTAAATTTTTATATTTTTTATTTGCTCCAACGCTAATATACAAAGACAACTATCCGAGAACGCGTACTATAAGATGGAAGGCGGTTTTCTTTTACGCGATAGAATTCACGAGTATTATACTTTTCATCAGTTTCTTCATGAATCGATATTTTCTTTCGGTTTTCCAAGACTATGGTAAAGGCCCAATACCTTGGAAAGAAGTTGCCCTTCATACATTAGGAAACTTACCAGCTGGTGGGGCATTCATGTTATGTGGTTTTTATATTCTTTTACATGTTTGGTTGAATGGGTTCGCAGAAATATTGACCTTTGGAGACCGAATGTTTTATAAGGTAAAACTTACCAATGAAAATAGTATAATGTATTTTATGTATCTACATCACAATAAGCCAATGACCAAATTTGTACTTCCCATTTTTACGAAGTGTGTATGAAGCATTTTTCTTTCTGTCTTCCAGAAATACTGAATTATACACATTATTTTTTATTACCAAAAATTTAGTATGTATTCCTTGGTTTTAATTAATATTTCTTCAATTTTCAAAAAGTATATTTTTAGAAATTCAAAACCTAATAGAATCAAGTATTTGAAAGAAAATACACTCTCAGATTTGTTAATCAGTATTTACATTTTATTTTTTTATTATTATAAATGGGTTCAAGTGTTTAAACTTTTAAGGATTGGTGGAATTCAACATCTTATGGGCCTTACTATCGAAAATGGAATGTTGTAGTACACGACTGGTTATACACTTACATATACAAGGACATGTACGAAAATGTTTTACCAAAAAACAGATTTGTCCCAAAACTGTTTGTATTTTTTGTCTCTGCTCTAGTTCACGAATACATTTTAAGTGTAGCATTCGGATTCTTTTTTCCGATATTATTTTTAGAATTTTTTGTAATTGGAGTGACCCTTGTGTTTCTTACTTTCGGGGGAACTTTTCATGGAAATATATTTCTCTGGTTCACGATACCATTCGGAGCCTGTTTGGCAATAAATATGTATTGCATCGAATATTTTGTTAGACAAAACTGCCCAATAGAAAATGCAACTGCTACTGATTTCTTTATTCCTCGATTATTAACTTGTAAACAATTATAAACAGTATTTTTAATATCACAACTTACACTAATCAGGTACTTGAGCCTTTTTTATAATCTAATATATGTACAAATTATTTAAGTTTTTAATCAATAAATTATACAATACTTCTACGTATTATTAACTTTTGTGTGAGGGACTGGAACTCCATAATTTGGCGGTTTATTTTGAAACGGAGTCTAAAAATGTAACTCACTTAGATAAAAATCAAACAAAATAAAAAAAACAGTAAAAAGCAACAAAAAAAATTGTTATTAACAACGTTATAAACAATACTGTTTTTATTTCAAAAGAAAACATAAACAAATCATGCAAAAAATGCACTTCATTATATTAAACGAAAATTAATGCAGTTTTTTGAAAACACTGCAAAATATACAATAATTTTTACTATATTATTTAACATACTTGAACAGATCGATGGAAACAATTTTTTTGTGAAGCATACTCTTTACTTTTAGTTGAACGTTGACAAGTCGTAGACGAAGGGAATGAATTTCCCTAAAATAAATTTAATATGACAGTTACGTTTGAGAATTTTAGAAGAATTTTTGTGGGGTTATCAATACATTAAAGTGAATTAATTTTTACCACTACACATAATCTCAAATTAATGAGGAAAATTTGTTGCTACTGTGACGCCCTCGCCGAGAATCGAACCCAGGTCTGTGGGATTTACGCATCATTACTCCAGAGTAAAGAGAGACCAGGGTTCGATCGCCGGGGTGGGGGGGGGGTGACTGCAGCAATAATTTTTTCTCACTAATTTAAGCTTATCTGTAGTAGTAAAAATTAATTCGGTTACTTATGTTTTTACTCTCATATATTATTACGCTTTTCACGCTCAGAAAAATATTAAAAGATATATTTTCTTTATGCCAGTAAACAAAAACCATAACAAACTCTCTAAATGAATGTTTTATTAGGCGCAAAACTTTATTTTGTTTGTATTTTGGACTTGATTTCAAATTATTCATTTTGCCCATGATTAAACTAAATGTTGTTAATCTGGACATGTGTACAGGTACATAAAAGTGTTTAAAATTCGCTCACCTTGTTTATTTCGGGGAATATGGTACTTAAATTAAAGTTGGTCAAGGATGTTCCAATGTTGTTGATATTAGGGGGAGTTTCGATGTTTTGGACTTGACTCCTAGAAGCTGTTAATGGAGGAAGAGTTATCATGGAAGTCGAAGACAACTCTGTGCCTTGTTTACTATATGGAGGATTTTTACAAGGGTATAATTGACCTGGTGTAGGAGGTGGTGGTAAGAAATTAGTATGAACATGGAAATCGTCAGGAAGCATAGGAGAACTTATTGTTCCAGGCATAGATAGGAAACTAAAGTCAACAATACCAGGCAAACTATTTTCTGTGCTTTGTTTCATTTTTAACGATTTTTTCGCATAATTTACTGATGAACAACTCACAGCACAATCATTGTTCCCTATATTTTGCATTGCAGGTCTTTCGCCAGGAGCAGGAACTCCAGCATTTTGCTTAGACGAGTTCTTATCACTAAATATTTTAACAGAACTTTGGGAAAGTATATTGTTTTGAGCAGCAGAGGCACTGTAATCTTGGGTATTTAGTTCAGACATAAACGACGTTGTTGGCAAATACGATGAGCTAATATTAGAAGTGGATGTAATATGATTATTAGACAAATAGGTGTATGATTGAACAGTATTCGAAAAGTTATGCGCCAAAGCAGTACTTTGAAAGTTCTGATTTTGTTGCATAAAATTGTTATCTTGTAAATCAACTGAAGAAAAGTACGGCATAATATTGTCGGACAAAAAGTTGGGTATAGGTAACGATTTTGTATTTGATGGGAAATTTGAAGTCTGCTGTCTAAACATGGCATTATTTTGAGGAACCTGATGACCGAGAAGAGCCTCAGCCGAATATATACTCTGTGAATTTTTATTAGACTCCTGTCTTTGGTTTTTATTATAATCGAACCAGGTCGGGTTTTCAGGAACATAATTGGAACTTTGATTACGCTGTGATGAAATTTTTACGTTTTCGCGTCTTCCCAAAGGCATTTCTACCTTATTTTGAGTGTAGCTGCGACCAACTCTGTCTCCACATTCTTTGTTTTCAGCTTGCTTCTGAACACGTCTGGTAGATTTATGGGATATATTGTTCTTATTATTTCTACTCCCACTATTTCTACGATTTGTGATACGAGAAGGAACACCATCAGTCTGTTTCTCAACCAACTGACTCACTGATAAAAAGTTGGAATGATTGTTCGATTGATCGTAATTTTGTTGTTTAGGTCGTCTTCCACTTTCTTTATTTTTATTTAGATCTTTTTCAATGGGTAACTTACTTTGTTCATGTACTGTTGGTGGTTGTATGGTTCCCAGTGCTAGGTCTCCCACTAAAGTAGGTAACGTTGACGATACAAAGGTGTGCGACGTTTCGAAAAATTGTGGAAGCTTTGTGGGAGACCAGGAAAATTGATTTTCGTCGAATTCGCTTCTCTGGGTAGCGTTGTGAGATAAAATGGGAAAAGTACCATCGGAAGATTTTTTTGTTTCAACGGAACTGTTTTGGAAATCAGGTGCTTGATATGTTGGTGGATTCGCATTAAAGCAAGAAACGTGAGAATTGCGAGGAAACGAAGTAGATGAATAGAAGTTGTTTGTTGTATAATCCATATCTTTTCCAAAAGATGCTGTTGAAGAAAACGTTGATTCCTGCTTCAAATCTGGGGTCGTCATCCAGTTTATTGGTGGTTTTGGTTGAGGTTGATTTGGCTGAGATTTTGCACCTTTATTGGACGAATTGCTGATGTTAATTTTTTCTTTATGAGGCACACCACTTTGGCGAAAGTAATTTGTGTTAGTCCCCTGTACATGAGCATTAGAAGAGTCTCTTTTACAAATTTCAGCACCTTTACAATCGGTATTATAATTAAGTTGGCCATAACTATCTGTATTTGTTTTGTGCTGGTTGTACGAATCCGCGTTTGTTTTTTGTTGATTACTGAATGAGTCAGTACTAGTTTTATGTTGATTGTAGGGCTCCGAGCTATTTTTAGGTTGACCATAAGAGCTAGTACTTGTTTTGTTCGAAGGATAATAACTGCTTCCTTCTATTGGGTAACTGTTGGTGTAATTAGAATTATTATTACCGTACAACATATTACCATAAGTTCTTGTATAATTTACATTACAGTCAGTGGGTTGTTTATCGGCAAACGGATTAAATGTATTACAATTGGATGACGATACTGAATTAGGATTATAGTTGATTTGAGGTTTTTGCTCCAGAAATTTCTTTTCAGAAAAATTACAATTCACATTACTGTTTACCGTAGTGGTTACAGAAGGGGCGTGTTGTTTAGAAGACAAAGGTAAGTCTTTATTGGTATAAGGTATTTGGTTAAAGTTCTCCTGAGAATAAGGCTGTGAAATTGGATTAGAAGTTTGTTTAATTGCTGCAGTGTCGTTCTTGATTTTACATTTGGTATCATTGTTATAAGGAAAAGTATTGTATGTAGTGCTGTAAGAAGTTGAAACACTTAAATGTGGAGTTTGAACTGTACACACAGAAATACTATTATTTGTATTGGTGTTAGAAATAATTCCATTCGAATTAATGGAATTACGTTCATCTAAACTTTTATTATTTAAAGAATTAAATGAATTATTACTTGAAATACATGTAGGACCAATTTTATTGCTTAAGCTCTTCTCAGTTGTAGGCTGATAAGAAGCATTAACGTTTTGAATTCGATTATTAGCATTAATAGACATAGCACCATTGTTATTACTTGACGTTTTATCTAAGGGGTGAGTTTTTAATGTTGTAATGTAATCATCAGCACATGTGGGTTTTGCTTTTAATGTTTGACCAGTCTGTTGAATCTGTTTTTCAATTTGGGGATTTTTTGCCTGCTCTACATTGTCTTTAATTGAATTTGTAGTTGAAATTCCAGCCACAGAACAAACAGTGGAAGCTGTAGAAAATGAAGAATATGTTATGGTATTTTGGCAACTAGTGTATGTTAAATTATCGAACGAGGAGTAAAAGCCAGTGCAAGTGGTGGAGAAAAAGGAGAAATTATCTAGATTTAGTAAACTCGGCGTTAGACTTTCAGAAGGAACTGTTTGGGAAGTTTTAGTTGAATCCATTGTACCAATTTGAAGAAGTGTTGGTGTTCCATGACGGCTATCAGAGTTTTCTTCATCTATTACTTCTGTTACTTTAACGCCAGTTAGAGTCGACACAAGAGGAAATGCTAAAAGAAAGGCTGCTGTAGGAGAGGTTGATTCTTGGTTCTGACTTCCTAGAGGAACTTGTAAAGACGAAAAAATGTCGTTTGACAACTCCGAATGATATAGAGACGTTCCAAGTGTCAAATTATTTTTATTTGGATCTTCAATTATCTTTTCTCCAACCGACTGTGTTTCTTGCACTTTACTATCATCGGCAGTTTTCAAATTCGATATTACTGAAGGAAGAACACTCTCGGAATTTATGATATTTTCAGTAGATTTATTTTCATATTTTTGTTCTGTCACGTTTTTAAGGTTTTCATTTTTTTCGGCATTTGTGATATTTTGTTTATTGCTTTCTATAATCCTATTTACTATTGTTCTTGAATTATCAGCTTGAACATTTTCTTGTGAAGCAGAACAGTTGATTTTTGGCTCATTTTCAACTGCTTCAGGTGCAAAGTTATTATGATCAATTATTTCTTTTGAAGCACATGGTGTTGATGCAATCTTTAAAGATTGTTTTTCATCAGCACCAATATTTGACTGCTCATCATTATTTACTTTGACTATACATGATTTTACTATATTAGCCTCTTCACAAATGTTATTTTGTTCATTTCTATTGTCTATATTGGAAATTTCTTTACTATTTTCAACAAGGGTTTCGGAATTTTCTTTTTTATTATTCAAAGTATTTTCATGGGATGATTTATTCTTAACAATATCTTCGTTATTTTCTACAATCTTAATTCGTTTTTTTGTGTTGTGCAATGTTTCAGCTGGTGAACATTTTCTTTTTGATACTTTTGCTTGTGTTTTTTCCTTTTTCAAGCACACAACTTTGCCTCCTTTTTTCTGCGAATGTTTACTTGAAATAGTGGCACTTTTTTTCTGAATTTCCTGTTTTACAATATTGAAAGTGGAATAGTGAGATGTTAGGGCAGGTATTGGGACTTTATTAATTTGTGTAGTTTTTGTTATGCATCTTTTGGGCCTGATCTGAGGCAACACCTTGCCCCCGATACTAATACAATTTGAAACTGAATTAATTTTGGACACAGTCGAAATTACCAAGGTATTGCTGGTAGTTTCCTGTTTTGAGGTGCTCACCACTACAACTGTAGCAGTTGCTGTTGTAGTTACGGGACACTGCGTAACTATTATAGGATTTGTGCTGGTTAAAACAGTAGCAGGCTGAATGACTTTTTGGGACTGTGGAAGAATAGGAATAACTGTACCATTAGCCAAAATTAAAGTACCTGGACCAAGGACATTCAATACTTTATCACTGACCGATTTTGGTAATATTTTTGGTTTTGAAATAGCTTTGCTAGTATCTGTAAACAACCTTATTAGTTTCAGACAAAATAAATAAAAGATACTCATTTACCATCTTTTGATGAACTGTCTGTATTTGTTAAATTAATAGCTGGAGGATTTGTCACTAGGTAACATGTTCCCATAGGAACATTTTTATTTGTAGAACAATTTAAAAGAGGTACTGTAATAGGAGTATTCTGTTTGTGATTCAATAATCTCCTGTTTTCTAACTTTCTTCTAAACTTTTTTGAAATTTTCTGTGGCTTTGTAGTCAAACGAGGTTTAAGCTGTTTCTTTTTCGGACTTTTCGTTTCTTTGTTTGGTTTATTTTCTAAAAAAAGAACGAAAAACATGATAAATGTACTTTCACTTTTAATGGCCAATTATTTGCAAAAAATAAATATTTCATTTATTTGAATATCAACAGGATACATCAATAGATATTTCAGCTTCTATGAAACCAACACAAACCTTGAAATTCCTTCTTAGCAAGTTTTTTTGCTAATTCTGGAGATATTTTATTGGACCATCTCAGCTTAGACGATGTTTCAATAATGGCTCCATACACTTTTGGTACTTTAATACCTGCATCCTTTATAAAATTACACAACTGATCACTTCGTGCTAATAACTTATCAATTCTTTCATTCAGTCTTTTTATTTCTTGATCTAAAGTTAAATGAGTGTTATTATCACCTTTACATATACATACATACTTTTACATACACTCTGCTGCCTTTGCTTGATTATTGTTAATAAAACTGTTAATTTTTTCTTGTAATTCCTCAATAAATGCTGCTGCCTGTTTCAAAATGTTAATTTTACTTAATGTTCGTGATGGGTCATAGCAAGGTAGCAATTTACTTAAACTAGTAAATGCGTCATTAATCCGAGTCCTACGGTCTTTTTCCCACTCACGACTCCTAGAAATTCGCAAGTCATTTGAAACGTAGTATAATTTACTAAAACTGTTAAAAAAGGACTTACTTGTTGGGTGGTTTGTTCATATTTTCTCCAGCACGAAAATAATTGCATTTTTAGAAAATAATCATTATTTTATTAATATCTAATTCTTCTCTAACGATAAGAATGGAAACGGTTGTAAAACGGATACATTATATTTTGTTAAAAATCATCGATTAGTTAATATAATTTACTTTATAATTGTCCTTGCATTTTCCAATATACACTCTAACGATTATATTTCAATGATTTACGATTTACATCTACTGATAAAATAAAAACTTAACTTTAAATATAAAATCTGAATGGATCACTATTGTAGGTTATGTTCGTTATGTTTTGGTCGTTTTAGTCTAGTTCAAATATCACTAATAATTTAGGGAGTGTCTCCTGTATGATGCGACCGTATTTGTAAATTCCTTTAAAGGACACTTCGTGTACGATGTGTTGTATCCCTACTTACAAACAATTTCTTTAAATTTTAATAATTGATTTCTATACGTCTATTAAAAAACCATAATGGCCGACATCACTGACAATGCGACAACAATTGAAAAAGAATGATGGCCGACATCAGCAACAATTAGAAAAGAATGATGGCCGACATCAGCAACAATTACAAGAGAATGATGGCCGACATCAGCAACAATTAGAAAACAATGATGGCCGACACTACGTCATAGTATTGTTTACAAAAATGAATTTCGACCACTCGAAGCAATGTTGCTAACAATTTCGAGCTCACAGTGTCTGATAGAGGGAATGAACTAATAGAAGTCACCGATAAAGAGAAATTATAAAACCTGAACCAAATTATTAAAAATTATAAAAACTGTCGAACCGTGCAAGGGACGCTTTAGACACATAATGTTTTTTAAAATAATCTGACATTTTGAGATGGTTGTGGTTATGCCACAAATGTCAGTTTTTGTGTTTAATTGTAATTTTACCAGTATTTTTATTTAAAAAAAATCATTAGAGTAAGAAATAAAGATGGCTAATAAAGTGCAACTATTTAAAACATTGCGGACTGTAAATAATCAGGTAATAAATAAAATACACGTATTTACACTTATGAATATTATATAACATCACTCTTCAATAGGGTTTAAAGTTTTATGCGACAGCAGCAGATACTAAATCTGCCCGAAACAAAACTTTTTCTGTATACAGATGGAACCCTGATACCCCGCAAAAAAAGCCTTATCTGCAGGACTATACTGTAGATCTAAATCAATGTGGGCCTATGATTTTAGATGCTCTTATTAAAATAAAAAATGAGATTGACCCAACCCTAACTTTCAGAAGATCTTGTCGCGAAGGCATATGTGGATCATGTGCAATGAATATTGGGGGTGTGAATACTTTAGCTTGCATAAGGTAAAAATTTAAACTAAGACTTTTTCACAAAGAAGTACCATTGTTTACAAAATATACACTACAAAGCTTTGGTCTACTTACCATATACTACTATCTTGCTGCAGAAATCCTTACTTGTTAAAATTAGAATAATTAGTAAAGGTTAAAATTAATGAAGTATTTTACATTCATTCTGATCACATAATAACGTGACTGTTGTGTTCATATCTGAATTTCCTAATTGGGCTAATTTATAGCTTACATTGAAATTATTGAGAATCTATTTCTGTAATTAGAATAAGTCACAATAAAGAGTCTGTTTTAGCAGTAAATTAAATAAAATCGAAGTAAATATTCACCTCTAACATAAAACTAAAGCTTGATGAAGCATAAATGTAGAAGTCATTTAAGTTAGATTTTTTGTTTGTAGTGATAGTTGTCAATTGTAATTTTAATTATTTTTTTCAGTAACATTGATAAAGATACTAGTAAAGCCACTAAAATTTATCCTCTCCCTCACATGTATGTAGTGAAAGATCTAGTTCCAGATATGAATAACTTTTATAAACAATATAAGTCTATACAGCCCTGGCTTCAAAGAAAGTAAGAATTTGCTTTACTATGAAAAAGAAATGTAATAATTTCCTAAATAGAAGAAATATTCAATATCTTCAATAATTATTAAAACGGAATTTACAGTATTATGTGATTATTATAGAGATAACAAAAATATTGGTGATGAACAATATTTACAAAGTATAAAGGATCGTGACCAATTAGATGGGTTATATGAGTGCATATTGTGTGCTTGTTGTTCAACTTCTTGCCCAAGTTATTGGTGGAACAGTGACAAATTCTTGGGTCCTGCGGCAATCATGCAGGTATAATAAAGAAAGTAAATAGGGTAGAAGACCTAATAGTCAGATATGAAATGATTGATTAATTTAGGCAGATACTGCATTAGTATTATTTCACCAATAATCTCCTACTTCAGTTTTGTCTTCATTTTGTTCGATATATCTGCCTTTTTTTTTCAAGTAATTACTGTGTCTTCAATTCTATTTACCATTATTTCATTAATTCCCACTGAAAGTGTCTGATCCTTATTATTTTATTTCTTTAGTCTTACCGATGGATAATTGATTCAAGAGACACCAATACTCAAGAAAGACTGGAAAAATTAAAAGATCCTTTCTCTGTATTCCGATGTCATACTATCATGAATTGCACAAATTGTTGCCCTAAGGTATTCATTTTTTTTTCTCTCGTTTAAAAGCAAATATTATTTATAGGTATAAAAATGTTGAGGTATTTGCGTTCAATATTTTTTTAACTTTCAGGGTCTAAATCCTGCTAAGGCAATAGCAGAAACTAAAAAACTATTAGGAGGAATTGCTAAAAAGAAGGAACCTGATATGAACAGTGTTTGACTTAATAAAAAAAATCTAATTAACAAATACGAGCAATTTATAATAGATTACGTTTGAAAGTGTATTTTTATTAGCATTAAGATTGATGGATACTTAAATAAAAATCTGTTAGTATTCTTGTTTATTGATACTAAAAAGTAATTAATTGAAGTTGATCTTATAAGATTTTAAATTGTTCTTATTTTTAAGATAACAATTTCGCGGTAGGACGTACATAGAACGTTAGTTTAAATGTATACACATCTGTATGGTAGGTTGCCTAATCAACAGATACATTTTGTCTTATTAAATGTATTATGAACGCTTTTTATCGGATTCGAAAATTCAGAAATGATGAAAATTATTCTGTGAATTTACTTGTTTAAAAAATGTATTTGATTTTTTTTAAATTTCCAAACTATTTTTGTTTTGTTTTAATAGACGACCATTTCCGTAATAACAAAACTCAGCGAACAGTAACTAACGTTTATGTTGAAGAATTATCTTGTATCCTTGTGTGAATAAGTAAATGCAAAAATGATTACATTTCGTATAAAAATTATTATCAAGAATGCTGAATGTGTAACAAAGTGAATAAAATCTAGTTTTTCATCGCATTCCATCACGCAGATAAATGTATTTAATTACTGTGAAAATAAGATTTAATAATAAATTAATGATTAATTAATTAATAGACATGTATTTGCATATGATTATCTATTATTAATAACCATTTAGATAAATAACTTCTACAGAATCGCTGTATACGTTTTTTAATTTGAATTCACGATCGCAAAGCGTAGGATGCTCCGTGCTCGGTGGTACGATTATTCCTGTTGCTGATTGGTTATTAGTTAATAATAATATTATTATTGCTATCAGCGCAAGACAATAGTAGTTGTAGCAGCAGCGGCAATGTCAACGAAGTCATAGCAATGCAGCCCCACTCGTAAAGTACAATTTATGAATTTATTCATTCGCGAAGAACGAGTGACGTTCGGTTTTGTGCGGGTCGAATAGTGAATAAAATTGAGGGATCTTGCTTTTCGATCGCTGTAGTGAACGCTGGCTTTACGTCGAATGTGTTGTCAAACGTTTCGAGATGAGTAGCGCTTGCTGTATGGAAGTTCGGGGGTCGTTACGTGTTCGTAATAGTAACTTTGTGGGATCCGGTCCCTATGATTACGATAAAGTGAGGGAGGTTCGAGCATGTCCAAGTGTTATGTCACCTGAGACCAAGAGGCTTTTGCCTCCAAACACGGAGACTGTTCAAACGAAACCATTTCCAATACGAGGTAACTGTTTATATTTTAGAAATATTATATTTAGACATTAATCATGCTTGGCATATTCGTATACCAACATGTCTTTTGAAAATCGATGAATACCTATTTGTTCTGTAAACAGTTTTTATACGCATACTGAGTAACGGTATGGGGTATTTAAATTTTAAGTACATAGAGTAAGGTTATGAATAGAACAGCTGATGAGTTTACACCTGCTGCAATAAGAATTAATAAGTATTTGTATATTAAAATTTCTTGATTATATTATAAACACCAGTTTCATTCTTTATCTGTAGAATATAATTAACTGTCACTATCAGAACTGCCGGTTCCCAGTTGAATAATTCTCATAGGATTGCTAAAAACCAGTTTTAAGTACAATTTTGATAATCCCAGCGTTAGCTTTCTTATCTTCATTGTTTCATACAAGATTTTTATTATTAACTATTACTAATATATTAAAAATATTATTGGGGTTTTCTATAGAAAGAACATATGCATGCAAATATGCACCATAATCACAATATACAGATGGTATAATACCTAATACATCTGTACTGTAATAATAATGTAAATACTTACACAAAAAAAATGTTAAACACTGATTCACGTGATAGAACTTGAACGTGTATATCTATCTGGGTAGACGGATAATTGCAAGGAAAAAATTAACAAACATGTAATCATTTTCTTTAACATTTTGTTTCTAAAAACCTACAATCTACTGCAAATGTCACAAGAATGTGCATAACACATGCACAATATTTATATTTTTTAGCTATGAGTAAAAAAAATATAAACAAGTAGATACTTATTATGTGTACTAGACGTTCAACTGTAGAAGTAACTTTTTGAGAAATAAATTTCAAAGTTGTTTTAATTAGTTTTTGTTTGACTCAGATGAATGAAGAATACATTTATCAAAAATCAATAGGTATATAACAATTTAGTATTTAAAAANTAAATATAAAAAAAGAAACAATATTTAATAAATGGAGCTCTGACCAACGTTCCAACCGTAGGACTTTTCTAAATATTCAGCAATAATAAATGCATAACTATTTGGATTTTTTACAACCTTATACCTATTTGTTTTTGAAAAATCATAAATCAAGAATTTATCTTTCATTTTTATAATTGAATCAATTTTTAATGAGAGGCATACCTGACTAGACAGTTGTAAGATAACTTGATAAGCAATAAAAGCATGACAGCTGTAGTTCTTTTGTTAAGATTTTTAACATATTTATCTTGATTTAAGTACCTATTATTTTTTATTAAAATAACCATCTGTTTTTATGATAAGGTCACCTCATTATTTCCAAGCATAAGTATTTAAGTGTTTATTTCAATTTAAATAAGTACCTAATACTTATATAATTATTTACACAATAGTGAAGATATTACCAATAATTAACACACAGTATTGAAGGCAAAGAGTAAAATTTTGTCATTTAATTTTGATTGTCCCTCCCTTAAGCTCTTACAGTGACATGTATCAAATGAGACAGTAGACGTGACTGAATTCACCTACAACCACTTTCATAATGACCAAAGTAATTCAAAAAAGAATGCAGGTATAATTACCCAATGCAGGTATAATTTTGTGTAAGGTCTTTCGGTGTTCGTGACGGATCTCATGGATAACTTTGATGGTCTCATATTCTCTCAGGCTCGGTTAAAAATTACTCTTCAAGTAATTGCAATTGTATGTGTATGGTCTATGGAATTTCGATCATTTTTTCTGTCTTAAATTGGATGAGAAATTGAGTAGCTAATCACAATTTATATTTTTTTTACAATTTTTTTAATTCATAAATCACTTAAAGATTCAAGAGCGACTTACGCACTTGCGACCAATGAAATACAGTGGAGAATCAATTATCCGGACCTTAGTTGTACGGATTCGCGAATATCCAGATTGCTAACCATGAGCAAATATCATTGTAGCCTAGTTGTAGTGTAATCATGGTAAAAGTTGCAGTATGTTTTTTAGTAATGTGTATAAATACAAAATGACTTTTCTTCATACATTTAATTATCCACATTTTTCATTATCAAATTAGTTCGGTTAATTGAGTCTCCACTGTACTGAAAACAGAATCATCACCAAATGCTCGTTAACTTTTGACGGTTGTTATTAGAAAAATCGGGTTAGATTGCCGAATTATATTATCATGTTTCGTGTTTAACTGAAAAATTCTGCTATCCTTAATAAATGAGATGTTCAGAACGCTCCTGATGAACTTATAATACTCAGCGACTGAAATCCTTTCGTTACAATCGATTCATTCGTTTTTTATCATCCATTCTTCCTATATTCACGTTGAAACCCACGCTTTTTACATAGGTATATACATTTATACATATGTCCCTTTTTCATTGTCTTATTTAAACGAAAATTTCCACAAAAATACTAATAATTGGGTTTTAAACCCACCTTTATTACCTTTATTAAGGAAAACTGTTATTAGACTTTCGTAAGTTTGGATGTAGGAGGTAATCTCCGAAACCATTGTATCGATTTCAAAATTCCTTCACCAGTATTTAAAATGAACCTTTAGGGTATACATAGGCGATATATTATTCCGTTTTTAAAATAGATTTAACGTAGAGACCAATTTGCAACATAAGTTTAATCAAATGCTTTTTGTAGAAAAGTTGTAGAGCTTAAAAAAGGCGTGTAAAAGTCCCATACACATAGGGAAACAAAAATGATTTGGAAATCCGTATGATTCACTTACGACGTGTAATAAGAAATGTGGTATTCCTAAATACTTACCTACCTATTTTTTCTTTTATCGTACATTAATTCTTATAATTAGAGGAATTATTTATTATATTCCATTAAATATTGTTCGGAGTTTTTGAAAATTTAAGTTAGCCGGAAATGTGCTTAAGTCATATTGCGTATTGTTGCACCTGAATAAACTGAATCACGTGCGTTTTCTCACGAACGCAATTGGTCTCTTGTTCTTTTACTCGCTGAGGCGAGGGACCAATGGCCATTAAAATTTTTTGAATGAATCCTACGACATGCCAGATAGCACGTGGCGTGGCATGAATCATCCACTATGAATGGCATAAAATACAGAAATATTATGCAATTCAAATGACATTATCATGTCATAATACGTATGTCTTCATTAATCATTGTGTATTGTCATAATCATAGTTACTAATCCTAAAAGCGTGTATATTTATATTAATAATTTATTGGTTTTGCTCTTATTTATTTCATGATGACAAAATTACTAAACTAGAATTCCTAAAGGATACCTACTACCCTAATACCTTTCAGTGTATGTTTTTATTTGTGATCATGGTTGAACATATTTTATTTCAAGAAAGTTAAGTAGGTAAATCATTTCAGGGATGTTTGTATATATGTATGCGTTTATTTATAGAAGGTGTTAGTTTTGAACACGTGCAAATTCAGCTTTTTAGGGGTTGGCAGGTGGGAGTGGATTAAAATTGAGTTGCAAACTTTGAACCCTGTACATATGCTGTTACCTGAATAGGTGCATAAAAATTAAAAATCAGTATCTATAGAGGTACTTGATACGAAATAAAACTTTTTTGTATTCTCAGTTATTATTTGGTATAATTTTAGAGTACATTTTAGTAAAATCATAAAAAATAATAGTACATATTTACTCATTCAAATTGCAATCGTTTAATGCATGCTAATATGTTTATAAAATTCCGGTTGTATATTGGTGCCTAATTCTGCACTTTGTTTTCTAACCTTTAACCTTTTTGCTAAACTTTAAAAGTTGTGTAAGCGCATTGTTTGTTCATAATAATACTAGCGGCGAATTAACGATGAGAGAACAGGGGAGCGATTCGATTGGGGTCTTTGGTCCTTAGAAGCCTCATTTCCAAAAATCCTTTTAATGAAATCCTAAACAAGGTCCCAATTACGTTCAATAAGTACCTATAAAAGAAGTAGTTTGGACTTTGGAGTTGTGCACAACGGCCAAAGATAAGCTGATTATCATTTTTTAAAGCCCTGCGATCAAATTACATTAAGTAAATTTTGTACAAATTTTTACTACAAAAAATTGGCCTAAAGTAAAGGACAGGTGTTGGGTGTACTTTTTATATGTGTGGTACCTACGTATTATATATGTTTGTCTACATATGTTTATACATACATAAAGTCAAATTTTAATTTTTATTTCAAAGACATCGCTTCTGCTATTAACTCTTACAATGTCGAACAGTACAAGTTCTTCGTTAGTGTTGCTTTTTCATGCCACAACCTTAAGTTCCTAGCCTAACCGTTTTTTTCCACTAGGTTCCAGTTTATAACTCCATTGTTAATTTCCCCTTTTTAGGAATAGGTACATCACCGCTGTTTAGTTTACGTAGGGATAACTAGTGAAATCTTAAACATTCTCTATTAGATTTAAATGTTTATCTTATCTATTCGTACTGATAATAGTGTAAGAGAAATTTTCACATTTCACATTCACGTCGACTAAATGAAGTAATATGGACTTTTGAACTTTGGTGCTAGTAAATAATTCATTAATATTAGCATAATTCTTTGTTCTGTTATTTGCGTTCTTATTCTTGCAAGCAATGGTAATAAGTTTTGAATGCAATATTACTTATTATATTTTATTTAATTAAATCTGTTTGCCATATTTTTTATCTTCGTAAATGTTAAGACGTTATGAAAAAGTAATCTGCTGTTTATTTGTGATAAATCCAACACGTGGTGGAATTGTATCAGCTGAACAAGAAAAAAAACGAGATCACGTTGACTTCGCTTGAACAGACACTTTACTATAGTTTTTCTCCAATAGTAGGCTAACTTGATGCTCGCCTGATCTTTTCTTTTATTCGTTTGTATTTTGTTGTTATAATAGTGTAATAAGTGTGTGCAAAAAGTGCTACGTGCTGTAGGTACCATTTGTATTTTGAATGTGCGCATGGTTGAGTTTTTTATCAGCAAGAAGATAAAGAATGGATGCAACAGATTGTTTTTCGCTGTCTACAAG